TTGTCAGCAAGTTACCAAGCTATTCATCAAGGAACTTATAACATAGATTACTATTTATTCATAAATGAAAGGATTTGATGCTATGGGATTTCCTTTGAACTTTTTATCATTCATTACTTGGTAACTATATTGGACTCTTCCTGTATTTGGATTTTATTTTAATGTGAATATATGTCACCATTTGAAAAACTCTATTTGTTATTAGAAACTGGTTGAAAATACCAGAAGACTGTTAAAAAATGCCAAATTTTCTTTATTAGAACAATATAACATAATATTTGATAAGATTAAAATTTTTTCAATGATATATTTTATTTGCAAAATATTATACACAATACTTAATTGCCTAATGCCTTTATTATCATTGTTTAATTTTTACCTGGTTCAAAATAACAGATGGGCTTGGTTTCTGGTATCGAAAATAGTAACAAACTCTTTCTCATTGGTAAACATCCATAAATTTGTTTAAGTGGAGTGCCTAATGTGTATCATTGGAGAAAAATTTGAGGTCTTTGAGAAAGATTATATGAAAGGAATATAATCAACTGAGTGGAGGAATGAGGAATCATGACAGAAAGGATATAGGAAAAGTAAACAGCAATAACTCTCCTACAGATTTGAAGCCAGTTATAGAAAAAGGTGTATGAATAATGACCCATACACCTTTGAAGAACATACTATCTTTAACTAAAATTTTGGAAGAGGGAACATCTAGGAAGAAATTACCAAAGATTAAAAGTAGAGTAAACATCACACAGAGAAGAACAGATGTTTTGTGTGAAATTGAAAACGTGTAACTTAATAAACCAGCAGGAATCTGTATGAATACAGCACACCTACTTGACAAACAGGGAGCCCTCACATGTTTGCTTAGCAGTGTGTCTATATGCTTAGCTATACCAAGGAAGTATAGGGCTAGGAAACTGTGATCATATTAACAGATGTGACTTCATTGCAGAACTTTTCCTCTGAAAAAGAAGCAATTCTGAATGACATTCACATGCTTGATGTTTGGGAGCAGTATTGATTGGGTTCAGAGAAAATGGGGCAAAAAGCATCACAGCAGTTGGCTCTGAAGGATAGCACTGAGATTCTCAGCATCTGTGAGGTGGTCAGTGAAGCCATAGTCCATGCAGCTCAGAAGCTCAAGGAGTATCTTGGATTTGAGTATCCACAGAGCAAACTCTGCCCAGCTGCAAATACTCTGAATGAGATCTTCTTAATCCACTTCATCACTTTCTGCCAAGAAAAGGGAGTTGATGAGTGGCTCACCACCACCAAGATGACCAAGCACCAAGCCTTACTATTTGGAGCAGACTGGGTTTGGACCTTTTGGGGATCTGATAAGCAAATAAGGCTTCAGCTGGCGGTTCAGACTCTACAGATGGCTTCTCTTCCTCCTGTGCAGTCAAAACCTTGTGACTTCCCCAGTCCGGAGTCGAGGGTAGAGGAGTCTTCCTGGAAGAGAAGTAGATTTGATAAGCTGGAAGAATTCTGTAACTTGATAGGAGAGGATTGTCTGGGCTTGTTCATCATCTTTGGTGTGCCGGGAAAACCTAAAGACATCAGGGGAGTCGTCTTGGACAGTATCAAAAATAAGACTGTAAGGAGCCATCTGCCAGGACGCAAGGCTGTGGAACAGTTTGTCCTGGAAACCGAAGATTGTGTCTCCATGAAAGAACTGCTTGGAAACTGCCTGAGTAAGAAAGATGGGCTGAGAGAGGTGGGCAAAGTTTTTATTAGCATCCTCTGAACTGGATGTGTGCTGTGACTGGCCTGTATCATAAAAAGAAAAAAAAAGATATTCTCATAAGCAAGCTCATTTACATACATCATTCCTACATGGGTTTTTTTTTTTCCCCCACTTCCCTTATCCCATTGATTGAAAATGATTACCTGGGTCAAAGTTAGTTTGACAATTATTGGTTTCGTAATTATGGAACAAAAAAAAAGAAAAAGAAGAAAAACCCTGGCTGAATTTTAGGAAATTTTATAATTAGGTTTAATCTTTATTCATTTATTCAGTAATAATTGGAAAGCATAATAAGGTTATGCATAAAGTTTGATTTGCAAAATAAAGTGTATTTGTTTAAAATAAAAGTCTAATACTCAAAAGTATAAAAATATATTTTTACTGCTGTTGGTGGCCAGTGGGTAGGGTGGAGTGGTGGGGAAGACCACAGAGCTGGTGGTCTTACATTTCTAACACCAGTTTCAATACAGGATACCCAAGCAGAACTTTACACTGCTCTTTTCCTTACTCTTGGTCCTTGCTAGCAGCTTTCTCTGCACAGTAGAATTTTGGTGGGATTTAATTGAGAGTGTTAACTTTACCCATGATTTACAAAATCACCCATAAAACAATTTCTTGTTATAATAATATTAGAATTTTCAGTAAGGAATGTGCATACACATAAAATAACCTCTTTTGCTTAAAAGCCTATGTTAGATTCAGCAGTACAAAGAGGAATCACCGTTACTCATAGATCTCATACTGCAGGCCAGATGCTTTACATATATTATCTCTAGTTACATAAAGCCGCCATGATTCCAAGAGGCATTTATTTCTGTTTCACAAATCAAATAGATTTTGCAAAAAAAAAAAAAAAAAAGCCCCCAAGGTCATAAAGCTATTAGGTGGCTCATAACAAAAAAAGCAAGGTCTGTACAGTTACAAAGCCACAACTCTTTCCTATAGTTATATAAAGAAAATTCCTTGATTCTAAGTTATTGGAATTGCTGAGACCACAAAGATGCACCTGCCACTTCCTGGCCACTTCCTGCTGTTGCTGCTCCTCCTACTGATGAAAGTCTTGTTCACAACATGTAGTTCTTGGCAAAATGTGGGCTAAATTGCAACTGTCCAAATTCTGAAAATGTTTGCTGTTTTTGAGTCTTCCCATGGGTTTGGCCCTTTCTATATTTTGGAATCAAGGGCACTTCTTGTGAGGTTGCATGAAGTCATATGAGGGTAACATATCCAGCAATGTATTTTAATGGGGTGTTATCCAAAGTAAGAAATAACATTTTTTTGTTGTGATTTATGTGACTGAAACCTGTCACAGGGCACTCAGAATTTTCTTTTGTACATATTTTTTTAACTCCTAAACTGATATCAGGAGTATACATGGGAGAGTCCAAGTTCAGAGAGCGGGGAGGTTTGGAATTTATTACCCCACTGTCTCTGATTTGATACTCTAGGATACAGATAGCTCCTGTCCAACCTTCCTCTGGAATCCAACTCCCTCCCATTTTTAAGCCACTATCAGTTCCCCAGGTGCTTTTTTAGTCCCCTGTGCCTTGCCCCTATGCTGAAAATATCTTTTTTTCCTCAGTTAAACTTTTAGAGAGTACATTGATTTCTTCTGGAACTGTAATCCTTCCTGATTTTCCCATCCAGAAGCTAAAGATGATACACCTATCTTGTAAGACTGCTATTCATTACATAAAATGAAGACAAACCAAAATGTTTATAGTACAGTAAGACATATCTACTCTTTGAATCTTTATCAAGCCCAGTACACAGGATTCACAGAGAACATAGGGGTGCATCATTTAACTTCAGTCTAGGTTGAGCATGAAGAGCTGGCTCCTATTTTCTGTCCACTGAGCCTGGTGTTAAATTCGAATAATCCTGGCAACATTAGGCAATGCCAGCCCAGAATCCCTTCTCTTAAGCTTTATCATTCCAGGAAGTCCTAAATGAGAAGGAGGAAGGGCACTTTCCTAATCCCTATGACGCCCTCTTGCTTCAGAAAAGGTATACAGCCTCCTCACCTTTGTTTTCCCTCCTTAAAATGTTGATTCATCACTGTGGTCCCCTTCTTTGAGGAAGCCGAAATAAGGAAGAACACAGAGGCAGCCTTGTAGTAGTCCTACATTGGAAATTAGTGTGAATTGGTGTCTAATATCACAATAGAGAGACCATTAATGTACACAAGTATTACCTATTAAAATTTTTAAAGAAGTTGGGAGAGGCTGGGGTTGTAGCTTAGTTGCAGTGGCAGAGCACTTGCCTAGTGTGTGTGAGGCACTGGGTTCAATCCTGAGCACCACATAAAAATGAAATAAATAAAGGCATGCTGTCCATCTACAACTACAAAAAAAAAATTGAAAAGAAGTTGGAGTGTTGGTAGAAAAATCAATTTCTTATTTCTCTTAGCAAAGTCTCTAAAGCACAGCTCAGCTTCTGCAATTTGAGTATATATATTGCTCCCCCCCTCCAAAAAAGATGCTTCCAAATGTAAATAGAACATCGGTTTTGTTCACAAGTAATTACTAAATGCTAGTTACACGTAGGCCCTGTTCTTTGTCCTGCATAGAAAATAAAGCATACGGCATTTGTTGCAGATGGGATGGAGAGGGTATGAAACATGCTGCAGTTAGGATGTTGCACTTCCAAACTTCAATAATAAAAATATGCAGCCAAGATATGGCGTCAACTAAGTGTCCATTAACAGATGAATAATGAAGATGTGGTAAATATACACAATCTAATATTATTCATCCATGAAAGAAGGATGCCAGTTATGGTAAATTAACATGAATGAACTTGGAGGACAATGAGTGAAATAAGCCAGGCATAAAAAGACAAACATCACATGACCTCACCCATAGATAAAATCTAAAACAGCCAATCTCATAGAATTACAAAGTAGAATAGTGGTTACCAGAGTCTGGGAAAGATTGGAGAGGCCAAGACAGATGGGGAGAGATTGATCAATGGGTACAAAATTACAGTTTGATAAGAGAAATAAGTTCCAATGTTTTATCGCATAGTAAGCTATAATTAAAATATAATGCATATTTTAAAATACTAGAGAGCATTATGCATGTTCTCACCACAAAGAAATGATGTTTGAAGTGATAGATAAGTTAATTACCCTGATTTGTTCATTACACAATGTATACATGTATGAAAACATCACACTATACCCCATAAATATGTATAATTATTATATGTTCATTAAAAGAAAACCCTAATCTGCTTTCAGATTTAAAAAAAAATAAATACAAGTGCAGAAATAAATGCCTTGGACATTCCTTCTCAAGAAACCAAGTAATCAGTCATTAGTAAACTGGGCATGAATAGCCCAGGAAGCATCTCTTGAAGTTACGCAATAATTATTCCTACTTTGTCTCTGAAAGTTTAGCGTATTCAGCTAGTTAATATTTCCTTGGTGAATAGTGACCCCTGTCCTCAGGAAGGCTATCAAGAGTATCAAGTAGGTGGTATGGCAGAGCAAAAAAATATCCAACTGGGAACAGATTTGAGTTTTGAGTCTCCATTTTCATAAGAGTCAAGTGCCTTAACTCTTAATTTGTTTCCTTAATTTGTTACCTGTAAAATGGGGATGACTTCAACTAATTCAAGGAGATAAGACTTGTGAAATATGTTGTATACTAAAATATAAGATTATAAAAATTTCAGAGAACCTAGTACAAATTGTAAGCATTTATGTTATAAACAGCTGAAAGTTATAAATCAAAGACTTACTGTACTTTTTGTGATGTGAAAATAAAAGCGGTATCACAAGACTGGGATCCCAATTACAATAAGATATATTCTGTGTTTGCAGAAATATGTCAAAATATACTCTACTGTTATGTATACCTAAAAAGAACCAAAAAGGTGTTGCTTTTCCTGTTTTTAAAAATACTACATAGTTTAACTTTTTAAAATTTTTATTCTTTTAGTTATACATGATAGTAGGATCCATTTTGATACACAAGCTTGGAATATATCTTATTCTACTTAGGATCCCAGTTTTGTGGATATACATGGTGGTGAGATTGTGGTATATTTATATATGTACTCATTTAATTTTTTTAAAGTTATGTTCTTGGTGTAAAAATTCTGTAAAGAAAGTAAAGTCTTTAGCAGTTTCTCCTCCACCACCCTGCTTACCACCTCAGGTTTGCTAATTATCCTTTCAGAGTTTCTATTGCATATTTAAAATATTTCACACAACAGGATCTTTTTATCCATAAATGCCTTATGACCTGCATTAAAAAAAAAACTTAACCATATACTGTGGACAATTTTCTAGATTTATATCATTCTCATCATTTTTTAAGACTGACATCAGTGATTTTCAATCCTGCTTGAATAATAAATTAACTTGGGAGCTTTAAAAAAAAACAAAACAACAAAAATAAAGTCAATTCTCCAAAAAAACCTATGACTAGCATTCATAGAGAGAAGGCAAAGAAAATTTTACTCTTTTTAATCTCCTGGGGGGATGTTCAACCTGGAGAGGACCCATGTGTCTTAAGCTGTACTTTGTATTTTGTGATCTAATCAATGCTATTTTCATGAATATTTGGGTTACAAGGTATTTTAGTCAATACTCGTGTACTTAAAACTTGGTTTGGTCAGGCCTTAACATTTTGTCATATTTGATTCATTCTTTTTTAAAGAAGAAATGTTACAAACTTAGGCCCTCACTTTCCCTGCTTTGCTGGTCCCTTCATTTCCCACTTCCCGTGAGCATTATTCTCAATTTGGTATTTCCTTTATATAGATATTAAGGGTATTTCATATTAATATATTGTATTACTTTTAGGGACATAACCTGTAAGTAATGAATTTCCTTAATACATCTGAATTGTGCATTTAAAAATGGGTAAGATGGTCAATTTGGGGAGCGAGTACCACGGATCAAACCCAGGGCACTTAACCACTGAGCCACATCCCCAGCCCTTTTTATTTTTTGAGACAGGTTCTGAGTCTTGCAAAGTTGCTTAGGGCCTTGCTAAGTTGTTGAGGCTGGCTTTGAACTCATGGTCCTCCTGCCTCCCCCTCTCAAGGCACTGGAATTACAGGCATGCCCCACTGCCCCCAGCAAGGTGGTCAGTTTTATGTTTTATCCAATAAAAACACACATTGGGGGGGGCAATGTAAATGGACTAACAGTGATGGGTTTTTTTGTTTTTCTTTAGTAGTACATGGATATCATACCTTTATTTT